AAAAGAAAGAAAGAAAGAAAGAAAGAAAGAAAGAAAGAAAGAAAGAAAGAAAGAAAAAAAGAGCGGACAGGATCCAAAGCTACAGAGAAACCCTGTTTTGAAAAACTTAAAAAAAAAAAGAAAAAGAAAAAAGAAAGAAAAGAAAAAAGAAAAAGTTAATTAGAGCAGCAGTCAGTTCACATTAAAATGTAGTAAATACTAATATTTATTATACAAATCAGAAGAACAGTGAAAAAATATACTCAAAAGCTAGAAATGTAAGAAACAAGATAAAACTTATTTTCTGGGGCTCAGTGGTTAACAGCACTTGCTGTTCCTTCAAAGGACCCGGGCTTTGTTCCCAGCAACCACACAGGGCAGTTCACAAACCCCTTTAACTGCAGTTCCAAGGGCTACAACTTCTTTTCCTGGCACATTCATGTGTCTCACATACGTGCACTCAAGCATATACATATAGTGAATGAACAAATCTTTTACAAAACACCTAATTTTCTGAAGAATTTACATTATTATTGTCATAACTTTCCATTTTAATCTCCTGGAAGAAACTAGTTATATAAACTGCTTATACATTCTTTTTTTTTTAAAAAAAAAAATTTTACTACTCTATTTGTGTGTGTATGTGTGTGCGATGCAAAAGTCCTCAATCACTTTCATATTTGGAAACAAGGTCACTAAACCTGGAGCTGACTGATTTGGCTAGGCTGGTGGCTTGCCAGGCTCCAGAGGAATCTGCTTGTCGCTGAGAGAGCTGGGATCACAGACATATGCCACCAAGCTGGCTCTTCACAGAGGTGCTAAGGTGCAACCTTCATATGTTTATGTTTGTAGACCAAGCACGCTCCAATGAAGCCACCTACCTAGCTCCCAAAGATCATAATTTCCAGCTGTCATTGTAAAGAGTAAGTCATTGCTCCTTGACCCTCATTAAGTATTTCATAAGCTTTTATTTTCACTAAATTATGAGTGGACAGGCAATAAAATTAATTTTTCAACCAAATAAGAGTTTTGAGCAAGAGCATATTTGAACTCCAACAAATTAACCCACAAAGAGAAAACTCTCCAGGAACACAACAGGATCTTCAACTGTGTACCACATGAGATCTTTGTATAGAAGAAAATCTCAGATCAGATGTGGGAACACTTACCAATGGAATATCACGAGCCTTTTCTATGCGAACTATTTTTACAGTTTCTCCTCCATACTGGCCGATACTTTCGTACACTCTCTCATCTGTAATGGGTTCTAGCTGCATTTCCTGCTCAGCAACCTTATCATGGGCCAGTAAAAGTGCCTGTTCCAAAGAAACCCACAGTATTTTAAGTAAGAACACGACCGTAGTAAGACTTAGTTTCTTCATGCACATCGTATTATGACCAAGTCCTTAAAGACTTAAAATACCAGATAATCATACAAGGATTTTTTTGTCGAGTCTTAAAATAATCTATTTAAAGGATAGTTTTACATATAAAAACGTATAACCCAACAATTACTTTTCAGAAAGGACTACAAACACAAATGCTAGAAATATATACAATGTTTTGTGCTTTCTCTACCTGAATATGTGGAGCATTTAACAAAGCAGTTAATTCTTGTCCTTCCTTCTGATGGACAGGCTTTAAGACAGTTTGTACCTAAGAAATTTTAAAAAATTATTATTTTTTTGGTTCATAGAAATTAACATATAAACATAGCATCTATGTAATGTAGTACTTTTATTTTTAAGTGAGAATCAAAATTTAAAAAAGCACTTATAGTGAAGAAAAACACTAAAGGAATATATGAATAAAAAACCGTCTCCCACAGACTTTTCAATTTTGTTATGAGTAAAAATTACACTTTTTTGAAAGCATTCTCCAAATGTGGTGTTTACATCTGCAAATGAACCATTTCCATTTCAAACGTTTCTCCCAACACAGCATAAAATACATTAATGATTGTAAGACAGAAGATCTGCTCTACCAGTTAGTTATCATGCTACTTTTGAGGTTTTTAAAAACTACATTAAAAATCAGAGATGTTGCCGGGCAGTGGTGGCGCATGCCTTTAATCCCAGCACTAGGTAGGCAGAGGTAGGTGGATCTCTGTGAGTTCAAAGCCAGCCTGGCCACCTGGTCTACAAGAGCTAGTTCCAGGACAGCTATCCAGAGAAACCCTGTAAAACAAACACAACACAACACAACACAAAAAAAAAAAAAAAAAAAAAAAAA